GTGACTCATGACGTTTTGTCCCAGAGCCACGTGGCGGAGGATCAGAAGAACGGCCAGTTTGGCGACAGACATGGCGACTCAGAGGAGGCGGTCTTCCTTGAGCCTTTCAGCACAGTCCACTCCATCATCCTGGACTGGACGTCTGCAACTTTCATCGACTCAGTGGGAGCTAAAGCCATCAGACAGGTTCTGGCCCTTTCTCCAGCGCTGCACTGCACAGGAGCACCAGCTGCATATTTTCACTGAACTCCAGTCACGGTTTCATGGTGTAGAGCCCAAATACTGAAAACTATTATCTGTTTGTGCAGATCATTAAAGAGCATGCCGCCGTAGATGTCCGGGTGGTCATAGCTGGCTGCAACAGTAAGTGACTATTAAGACTTTTCATTAGATCTGAAAATATCTGTACACATGCTCTGTTTTATACGCACTACGTACAGAACGCAATTAAAACCCGTCCACCCATCTATCCTCTTATCTTTACAAATAGCTGTGGGGACTATTTGTGGACCATGAACTGTTCATGAAACCAGTTAGAGGACTGGTGCTTTGTTACACATCGTCCTGCAGGAGTTGGTACACTGTGGTTAGAAAGGCATGGACGTGGAAATATCCCTCACACTGTAGCACCACTGATCCAATGCAGGAGGAATCCATGCAGTTATGATGTTTATACCAAAGTCTGCTACAGAAAGCCTGTGCATACTGCAACCTCAGGTTTCTGTTTGTAGCTGGGCGATGTGGCGCCCTGTGGTCTGATGCTGCTGTAGCCCATCTGCTTTCCAACATGAGGTGCATTCAGAGAAGCTCTTTGGTGGTAACAGGTGGTTATTTGAGTCACTCTTACCTTCCTGTCACGCTCGACACACTTCTTCTCTGACATCACTGAAGCATCTTCTCCCAGAGAACTGCTGCTCGCCTGTTACGTTCAGACCGTCCTCTGTAAACCTCGGAGATGATTGTGTTGGAAAGTCCCAGCAACTTCTAAAGCACGTCTGATATCTAGTCATGCCATGTTCATTCTGATGCTTGCCTTGAACTCCAGCTGATGTCTGCATTGAGCTTCTGCCATGTGATTGGCTGATTTCGATGTTTGCATGAATGAGAACATTATAAGGTCTGTAAGTGGAGACCTATAATAAAGACAAGTTCCACACACTGGGGTCATAATGTAAAGGATGGAAACAGGCAACAAGCACTATGACAGAACTCTGTTGAAAGTTTTGGTTTGAATGATTAAGCCTGTGGGTCCTGACAGACACAGTCTGTGGTTCACAGACTGAAGCCATTCCTGCAGTAACAAACAGGACGCTCCTGTTCTGCACATTTGGGATTGAAAATGAGAAGATATCATTTGGAACCAAATGGTAAACATGATGTCAAACGATATATTTACAGTTCACTTTCAGTATATTGGCTCACGAGCGCTCAGGATGTTTTCAGAGTGGCAGCTAGCCAGAAGAAGGCAGGGATGAAGCTGCAGCAGCTTGTTTCACACTGTAATGAAGCTGCTGTCCAAAAAGTGAACACAGCAGGTTGCTTTAGTTGCTTTGTGTGCCCTGTAAATGGAACAAAGGTATCACTGCAGGAATGTCATGTATATAACAGTGTTTAACTCAACAATAACAGTGTTTCCCAGGCTGCACTTATCCTTTTGCAGCTTTATCTTAATTGGCTGATGTGGCAGAGCAGCCCTGAACGAGCACTGCAGATTAAAATATATTTACGGAACCATGTTGCTGTTCAGATAGCTGACTGTAGCTTTGCAATATCTTGTAGAAGAGATAATCTTGCACTTTTTGATGACATCTGTAGTGCTGGGGCCTTTAGGAAAACAGTGACTCAGCTTCGTTTTTTCTTTTAAAAAAAAATAAACTTCAGAAGGACATATTGCTGTGACAACACCGATGAGGGATAAGAGAGATTGTCGTGAAAAAGTGAGTCTGTGGGGATTGATGAAAGACATGTCGGAGTTATCCATGTCCTCATTATACAGGCTTCAAAATGTTCTTACTTTTCTCTCTCTTTTTCCCACTTTCCCATGTTTTCACTTGTTTTGTTGATGGCTTTTTCCTTTGTCCTTCCTTAATTACATCCTCTTAATGATCTTTTCTCCCTGACTTTACCTGCATTTGTCAGATTTACTTGCGCTTGCCTGTTCCTTTGTCTCTGTCTCGCTTTCTCGCTCGCTCGCCCTCTCAGCAGGGGAAATTGATGATTACAAACCAGCAGTAAGAGAAAAATGATTGGATCCTAGCAGTAGTAGAACTGTAATATTTTCTCCTTGTGCAGTGGCCTGTAATAAACCAGGGCTAAGGAAACCTGTCAAAGCACGGTTGAGTCTGTGTGAAAGTAGGAGTTTGTGCTGTCTGTGCACGCTCGAACGTTGCTGCCGGCCGGCTTTGTCTTGTTTGAATGCTGTTTTGATTTTTGTGGACAGTGGAGAATAAAGATGACGTGACAGCTAGGACAGAGAACAAACGTGAAAAAACGTGCTGGAAAATGTAATGGGAGTGGCAATCCAGGACACACCAGTGCTGCTAAATTAAAAGAAACATTGATGTATTATTAGCTGCACTGTAGTGAGAGTCCAGGACTACATTTCTTGTATTTTAGGTTGAAAGTGCTTGATGACAAAAATATAGATGTCACAGCAA